TTCTTACTCAATTTATTAAACTAAGAAAAATGAAGTTCCCCATTTCTCCTATCCCCTATCCCCACCTCTTTCAACCACCAATATGTTCTCTGTATCTATGAGCTTGGGGGTTTTCTTGTTTTTTGTTTTTAGATTCCACATATAAAAGAGATCATACATTGGGGAGGGTAAGTGCTATGGTGAGTGCTGTAAAGTGTATAAACCTGGCGATTCACAGACCTGTACCCCTGGGGATTAAAATATATTATATGTTTATAAAAAAAAGAAATGCTGATAATAATAAATAAACATAAAATATGTGAACATAAAAAAAAAAAGAGATCATACAGTATTTGCCTTTCTCTGTCTGCCTTATGTCACCTGCCAAAATGCCTTTGAGGTCCATCTATGTTGTCACAAATGGCAAGATTTCATTATTTTCTATGGATGAATAACAGTTCATTTTATATATATATATAAAATATATAGATGTAATATTATACCTATTATACCAAATAATTATATAATTATATGAATGTGATCATATTATATATACCAAAATATATATACACTAGCACATGTAATTATATAACATATACAGTATAATATCTATATAATTTTGATATATATAATTATTTGATATAATTATTGGTGTATATTTGGTGTCTATATTATAATTATGCCAAAATTTCTTTATCCATTCATCCATGGATGGTCACTTAGGTTGTTTCCCTATCTTGGCTATTGTAAATAATGCTATAATAAATGTGGGGGCCTTCATATATTTTCAAATTTAGTGCTTCGTTTTCTCTGGATGAATACCCAGAAGTAAAATAGCAGGATCATATGGTAGTTCTATTTTTAATTTTTTGAGGAACTTCCATAGTGTTTTCCACAGTACCTGCACCAATCCAACACTGAGAATGTACAAGGACTCCCTTTTCTCCATATCCTCACCAACACTTGTTATGTCTTGCCTTTTTGATATTATCTATTCTAACAGATATGAGGTGACATTTCATTGGTTTTGATTTGCATTTCCCTGATGATTATGGTTTGAGAATTTTTTCATATACTAGTTGGCCATCTGAATGATCACATTCAGTTGACACACAATGTACATCGGTTTCAGGTACCATGGGTAATGATTTGACAAGTTTATGTTATTTCATCACAAGTATAGCTACCATCGGTGCCATACATTACTTCTTTGGAAAAGTATGTATCTAGATCTGCCCATTTTTAATTGGATTTTTTCACCTATTAAGTAGTATGAGTTCTTTATATATTTTAGATTATTAGCCCTTTGTCAAATACATGATTTGCAATTATTTTCTCCCATTCAGCAAGTTGCATTTTGTTGCATTTTCATTTTGTTGCTGGTTTTCTTTTTTGTGCAGCTTTTTAATTTGATGTTATCCTGCTTTTTTATCCTTGTTTTGTTATTTTTGCTTTCAATGTCAGATTTTTAAAAATAATGAAAATCTATGTTAAGGACCTTACCTCCTATGTTTTCTTCTAGGAGTTTTATGGCTTCGATTCTTTCTTTTTTTTTTTTTTAAGGTGTTATGTATTTACTTGTCAGAGAGACAGAGATAACAATTAGGGGAAGCAGCAGACAGAGAGAGAAGCAGGCTCCCAATGCAGGGCTCCATCTCAGGACCCTGGAATCATGACCTGAGCCGAAGACAGATGCTTAACCAACTGAGTCACCCATGTGTCCCTATGGTTTTAAGTCTTACGTTCAAGTCTTAAATCTGTTTTGAGTTAATTTTTGTGTACGGTGTTAGATAGTAGTCCCATGTAGTTCTTTTACATGTAGCTGTCCAGTTTTCCCAGCACCATTTATTAAAGAGATTTTCCTTTCCCTACTGTATATTCTTGGCTCCTCTCTCATAAATTAATTGACCACACATATGTGGGTTTATTTCTGGGCTCTCTATTTTGCTCTGTTGAGGGGTCTGTTTTTATGCCAATACCAGACTGTTCTGATTGCTTTGTAATATAGTTTGAAATCAGAAAGTGCAATACCTCCAACTTTGTTTTTCTTTCTCAGGATTGCTTTGGCACTGGAATAGCTTTCCATGTATTTGTGTCTTCTTCAATTTCTTTCATTAATATCTAATAACTTTCAACATACAGGTCTTTTGCCTCCTTGGTTAAATTTATTCCTATGTATTTTATTCTTTTCAATGTAATTGTAAATGGGATTGCTTTCTTAATTTCTTTCTGATAATTTGTGATTAGTGTAAGAAGATGCAACAGATTTTTGTGTATTGACTTTGTATCCTGCAGCTTTACCTAAGTCATTTATTAGTTCTAATAGTTTTTTGATGGAGTCTCTAGGGCTTCCTGTATATAAAATATCAGCTGCAAGCAGTGACAATTTTTCTTCTTTCTTTCCAATTTGGATGCCTTTTATTTCTTTTTCTTGCCTAATTGCTCTTGCTAGAGCTTCCAATATTATGTTGGATAAAAGTGGTGAGAGTGGGCATCCTTTTCCTGATTTTTTAACTGTTCAACACTGAGCATGATGTTAACTGTGGGTTTGTCATATATGGCCTTTATTATGTTGAAGTACATTCCCTCTATACCCACTTTTTTGAGAGTTTTATCATAAATGGATGTTGAATTTTGTCAAGTGCTTTTCCTGCATCTATTGAGATGATCATATAATTTTTATCCTTCATTTTGTTAAAGTGGCATCACATATTAACAGATTTGTAGGTGTTGAACCATTTTTGCACCCTTGAAATAAATCCCTACTTGATCATGCTGCATGATTCTTCTAATGTATTGTTGAATTCAGTCTCCTTATATGTTGTTAGGATTTCTGTATCTATGTTCATCAGAGGTATTGACCTGTAATTCTCAATTTCTTAGGACCCTTTGATCTTTTCCATTTCAGTCTCTCTGATATTCCTGAACACTGTTACCATTCTCATATAACTGTAGGGCAACTAAAACTGTTAGGATCTAGGGACTTATGTATTAAGTGAGATTTTCTATGAGGAAATGTTTTCATAAACTATGAAATTATATAAATATACAAAGAATGAGTATTAAATCTTTCTCCTTTCATTAAGCTGTTATTATCCTAAATGTTTTTTTCTGTATCTGAATTAATCTACAAGTATTTCTGTGACACACAGCCCATGTGTCCTGTGCCATGCATCAATCTAATAGGGATTGAGAATATGTAAAATGGGCCCCATGCTGGGAGAGAGGCTAATTAATGTGAATTTGGTATAGAAAAAGCCAGGCTCTCCATGGAGGTTTACAGGAAACAGGCTGTAGTGGAGGAGCTGTGGTGGTGAATTCTGTTGGGCGTGTGGTGTGCTCAAAGCACAGCTCAGTGAGCTGTGGAGTGAAGATGTGTGAGGGAAGCTGAAGAGAAGAAACTGATGAGAAAGCAGAAAGGGAGTTACAATAAGCTAAAATACAGCTAAAATAAGAACTGAAATGACAAAACTGAATAACTTCTGGGGAATGGAAGCCCTATCTGAATCATCTTTCTATTCTCTGGTTCTCCATACTCCTGGCAACACTTGGCATCTATTACCTGTTTGTATACATGTGTTTACCTTTACTTGTGTGGAATGGCTAAACAGACCATGGATGGTTGTTAGAAATGGCAGGTGGTGCATCATCTAATGGAACACGGGGGCTCAAGGCAAGGAGGAGGACAGGGCTAAAGATGAAGTGTTACAGTTAACGACAGAAGTTAGAGGGATGCTCAAGAGGGCAGGGAAGAATCAAGCATTTAAGTCCATATGTTCAAGGAAGAAGAACCAAGATAGAAATAGAGCTAGTGATAGAAATAGGAAAAAAAATAGAGAAAACAGTGAAGAACTAGGTCAGTATCATGTGATAGTGGTCAGGATTGGAGTGATGTTTAATAACAATGTTGGTAATACCAAGTATTTACTGAATGATTACTATGTACCAGGAACAAAGTACCATAAGCACATTATTCTAAAGACTAAGTGCATTATCTCATGTCCCTAAAATAATCCTATGACATAAGAACTATTTTTTATCTCCTTTCTTAGATAAAGTATTTTTGGCTAAGAGAGGCTAAGTAGTTTGCCCAGGATGACATAGCTAAACACTTCACTTACTCAGTGAGTCTGGTTACAGAGCCTCTAGAAATCTCTTCCTCTTAAAATGAAAGATCAACAGTGTCAAATATAGTAGACAGGTGTAGAACACCAAGAACACACACACACACACACACACACACACACAGTCACACTCATTTAATTTGGAACAAAATGGCCATTAGTATCCATTGAGAAAGAACATTTTCTCTTCGGCAGTGGAGGCAAAAATAGGGTGGTTGTCAGAAAGAGGCAGGGAATGGATGGAGAGACAATTAAAGCAGTGTGTGAGTTCACTTTTATGCAAAAGAAAACAAAACTAGGGAAGGGAATTCAGGTACTTCCGAATTCATAATTACTGACATTTGTTAACATAGGAACACAAGAGGAAAGCCACATTTAAATGGCTAGCAAAACTGTTTACAGAAAGATGAATTGTTGACACACATTCATCCTGCATATATGTTTTCACCTTTGAAAGGCCATACAAGAGCTAACCCCAAAACCTAATATTCTAAATCAGGAGTAAGCAAGCTATGGTCTGTTGGTCAAATCTGCCCGCACATGTTTTTATACAAGGCAGGAGCTAAGAATGCTTTTTACACTTCTTAATGGTTAAAAAAAAAAAAAAAAATTGAAAGCAGAATTCTATTTCTTAACAAGTGAAATTTATATGAAATTCCAAGTTCAGTGCCCACAAAGCTTTATTGTAATGCAGCCACACTGTCAATTTACATTTTATTGATAGAAGCTGTCTCACAACCCTGGCAAAGCTGAGCTCTTTGGAGAGATTTTATGGCCCACAAACCATATTGTATTTAGTGTCTGGCCCTTCCCAGAAAAATGGTACTGATCTCCATTCTAAATCATCTCAGTTGTTTTAATTTTTAATACATATACAAAGGAAAGGAAATTATATACCTGGTAAAGATGCTTTATTAGTTCTTGCCATTGGCACTTCTTTCCATAGATCTCCACCATTTTCATTCTCAGCTATCCAGGAGTCAACAGCTAGACAATACACCTCACATGTATCTATATTTTCAAGCCTAATTTCTTCCAGATACCATGCAGGATCCTTTCCACTGTTGTCATGTCCAATGCGTATTTTATAGATTTCACCAATATCTTTAAGATTAATCTGCAGCAAAAAGGGAAAAGGAGAAATAAAAGTCCCCAGATTTCTGATCTGATTTTTCAAGTCAAAAATTCATATCCAATTTTGAACTTAGTGTCTGTTTTCCAGTTCACATGTACTCCTTGCTAATTTTCCTTTGAACTGTTTACTTGTAACATTATGAAATGATGTTATATATAGCAAAGCACGAATCCAGTGACCATGGACAAACCAATAGATTAAATCTAGCTAGTTTTCAGTAAATCTTTTTTTTTAGCAACTCATTATTACCTTGCAAAATAAATGTTTTATTGTAATGATTGATATATACTACTTATTTGGTAGTTTAGACTTGAAGAAAACAATCTAATTCTAATTGGATATTCCCATTAAAGTGGAATCCTGACGAAAAGAAACCATATATGCTTCTGGATTTAAACTAGGGCTAACCAAGTAGCCCTGAAATAGAGTGGCACTGGAAAGACTATGACTATGATTAACAAGTAATTCTGCCTTATACCACTTTGCACCTCACCAAACAACTAATTACCTGGCAGGATAAATATTCTCACATATCATTCACTACTCAGAATGAGCAATATTTTTCTTTTGAAAATTCTTACAAAGGTCATATGAAAAAAATGATCATTTATATACTACATTCGTTTTCTATTACAAACAAAGACGTTTAGAGCCTCCCATTCTGTGGGTCAGAAATCCAGACACCTTGTGGCTCAACTGTATTCTCTGCTCAGGGCCTCACAAGCTGAACTCAAGGTATGGGCTGGGCTGGGCTCTTCTCTGGAGGGTCTGAGGAGAATTCTGCTTCTAGGCTCATTCAAGCTGCTGGCAGAATCCAGTTCTTTGCGGATTTAGAACTGAGGTTCCTCTTCCTTGACTTGTAGCCCTTTCACCCACAAGTCAACAAAGGGCACACTGAACCCTTCTCTTGCTCAGCATCTCTGGCTCTCCCTCTGCTACCAGCTGAAGAAAGATGTTTGCTTTTGGGGGCTCATACGATTTAGATGAGGCCCACCTAAATAAATCAGGCTAGTCTCTCTATTTTAAGGTACTCAAATTGTGCACTATGTGACACCATAATTAGAAACAATGTTACCTGCCTTCTGGTATTTTGTCTCCCTCCACCTAACTTCTTTTCTCCCCTGTGGTATTACTATAAACGTTCACATTGCCACCGGAAGTTACTCCTTCAGAGTTTATGCAGACTTGCCACACTTTTTTTCTACTAATATATTTTTTATTGGTAGTATAATTTTGGATTTCTGCACTGGTGATAACTGTTGGGAAGAAATTCTGTCCTCCAGCCAAAATGCCTTTCAGTCAGGATGCAGAGGTCAACAGAGTTGAGCTAAATAATTGGGCCCCTCCTATTATTTCTGGAACAAAGTGATTATAAAAATACTATCATGTAGAAATCTTAACATTGGTGCTTTGTCCAGATAATTAACATCCTACAGAGTTAGAGTTGCAGATAGTAGGACACAGGAATGAAAATAGAAGCCATATCCCCAAACAGTGAAAAGACGAAATTGTGTGGTGGCTAAAACCCTGGTTTTTGAAATGAACTCTGGAGTTGAAAGTTCCTTTGCCTTTGCCGGTTGTGTAAATGACAGCAAGTATGCCCACTCCTCCAAGCTTTGGTTTCCCCATCTGGTCAGTATAATGGTATCAATCTTACAAAGTTCTATAGCACTCAGTAAGTATGAGCAGACATCATTTTATCAATCAGAATTATGTGCTAAATAGAAAATGCCTAAATCTACCTAAAGTAAAAACAAGATGAATCTGAAGACAGGGTCCAGCATTCATGGAAGGAATTAAGCTAGTATTTGGTCATGATATATGAAATTGAAATTGATAAGACCTATATCTAACCCTGCTGGTAAAAGCAGATATTTGTCGTCAAAACCTAAATGGTGCCGTGGTCCAGAAATGAAATCATTACTCAGACACCAAGCATGCATGGGTTGGACAATTAAAATCAGAACCAAATGATTATACCACAGTCTGGATAGTGCTATAGATTGCTCCCAAATTACTTTTAACATGTTAGCCAAACTGATTTGGAACTCTTTGTTATGGCTTAATATAGTCAACCTGGGTCACTTCAGCTTTAATGAAGTACAAATGCAATATGTTAAGAAATTATTCTTGCACATAACTGTTTTTAGTATTCTGCATTTAACTTCCACACTTGAACACACACACACACGTGCACGCACACACACACACAGTTATACCATAACATAGGATGGCTTTTCATCATACAGATGGACCACATCATGGCTCAGTTATTCTCCAGAAAGGGAATTACGCTTAAAGTAGTCTACAGTCACGGATTAAAATAAAATTATCTTCAACTTAAAGACCAAAGAAGTATAGGGATTGAGAGATAGAGGGTTAGAAAGAGAAAGGCAGAAGAAATATAGTCCATTCTCATTGTTTTAAAGTCACGTATTGAAATTTATAACATCAATAAACTTCCACTACATAACCAGAACACAAAGATTAAAAAAAATGTCATTTGAAATGTCTGATTTGGGTACTTGAAATTATTAGCAAAAATAGATTAAGTCTACACTGAATTTAAGTAAGGAAACAAAGCACTTTGTATATCCACATGTTTTGGATAATTCTGTTTATCATATATACTACTTCCAAGAACAACTTAAATTTGGACTATGCAAATTAAACCATTTAAACATTTAACAAATTTTTATTACATACAAACACTATTTCTAAGCCAGTTTATGTGAACAGGGGAAAAACGGAGCTCTCACATTCATGTGAACCTCTAATCCAATCTATTCAAAATGAGAAATAAAGTAGGAGTATAAGAAAAGTATGAGATGGTTCAGTACAAGCAGGGCAGGTAGCAAGAAAACCAAGAAGAGCAAATGTACTTCTTGAGTCTGAGCTTATTGTTCCTGAAATTTCACAGTTCTGGGTTGCATTCTCTCTGTCTGCATAGAAGCTAGTATCCTTTCAAGTATAAATAAGTACTTCATAAAAGTGGATGCTGCCGCCAAGAAGTGGACCAGGAGCAACTCCTCGGCTGGAGGTGTCTAGTGTCACACATAAGCATACAGGTTTCGTGGCAGAGGGATCCACTGAAAACTCAAACCCTGAGACCCTTGGGCACTGGGATCTTGAAGAAGTTATATGTTCTCTCTAAACTTCAGTTTCCTCATTTACAAAATGCAGTGATTAAGAATCTCTCTACTGGGAGACTATGAGGACCAGGGACATATTAACTAGCAAAAAATGGTCAAATAAACACATTATTAGGTCCTTAATAAATAGTGCTGATTTTAGTAATTATTATTATTATTACTAAAGGGAGATGGAAGGAAGTAGGTGAAGAATACAGTGGGAAGAAGGAAACTAAAGTCCATTTACTTCCATCGTACAAGTATTCTTAGTGCCTTTGACCCTCCAGCACTGAGTTGGGCAGATGTGAGAAGGAGAAAAGCCAAGGGTGATCAATCCTCTCCACCCACCAAGTCCTTAACCAGCAGTATCACCAGGGCTCTCAGGCATGGGATTCTTTTTTTTTTTTTTTAACATATATTGTATTATTTGCCCCAGGGGTATTATTTGTAAGCTGTGAATCATCAAGCTTACACATTTCACAGCACTCACCATAGCACATACCCTCTCCAATGTCCATAACCCAGCCACCCCATCCCTAACCCTCCACCCCCCAGCAACCCTCATTTGTTTTGTGAGATTAAGAGTCTCTTATGGTTTGTCTCCCTTCCCAGTCCCATCTTGTTTTTTTCCCTTCCTACCCCCCACAACCCCCCAGCCTGCCTCTCAAATTCCTCATATCAGGGAGATCATATGATAATTGTCTTTCTCTGATTTACTTATTTCACTCAGCATAGTACCCCCTAGTTCCATCCATGCCATTGTAAATGGCAAGATATCATTTCTTTTGATTGCTGCATAGTATTCATTCATATCTTCTTTATCCATTCATCTGTTGATGGACATCTAGGTTCTTTCCATGGTTTGGCTATCGTGGACATTGCTACTATAAACATTGGGGTGCACATGCCCCTTTGGATCACTACATTTGTATCTTTAGGGTAAATACCCAGTAGTGCAGTTGCTGGGTTGTAGGGTAGCTCTATTTTCAGCTTTTTGAGGAACCTCCATGCTGTTCCCCAGAGTGGCTGCTCCATCTTGCATTCCTACTAACAGTGTAGGAGGTTTCCCCTTTCTAAGCATGGGATTCTTGACCACGGGGTGGGCCTAACTAGATTAGAGTCCAGTTGTCAGAAGCAGAGCACAAGAGGAAAAACAGACAACCAGGTCTGAGGCTAGTGGTTTCCTATCCCCAAGTCTCAAGTTTCTCTTTGCATAAAGAGGGCTTTTGTAAGGACCAAATTAGATAATCTCATGAAAACGCATTATAATTCATAGACTGACTGTCCATACAGGTCTCAGAGAACAGGTAGAGAGGTTTAGAGAGTTCTCTAAAGAATAACCGGAACTTATACTGTGCCTTGTGTTCAGACTACCGCTTTACTTGGAGCTCCCTTGATTGAAATAGTTGGGAAAATTAGGTAGTAATCTGAGGGGTACTCAAAAAATAATTTGAGGATTATCACAAGAAAGGACATTTTTCATTTGTCAGTGAAAATGGAAATATTCATGCAAAAAGATAACAGAAAAGATTCTCAAAGCTGAAAAATGAAGTTGAAAAAAATGCATTCCCTTTGCAAACTGCACAATACAATGCATATCCTATCTTTCCAAAGATGAAGGTTTTTGAATGCTAAAAGTTGTATAGCCTATTAGAGAATGTTCAGTTACAGAAACATAAAGGAATAACCTGTATTGTGTGGGAAAACAACATGGCTGGTGGATCTGTGAATAATCATACACAAATTTTATGGAAAAAATATCCCTCTTCAGGTATTCAGCTTTAGGGTTTGTTTTGTTTTTGTTTTATTTTTTTTTTCAGTGTTCCAAGATTCATTGTTTATGCACCACAC